ATGATAATAAGATTTTAGAACTCAGTGTTGTTAGGACCATCATGCCTGTGGTTGACACTATATTAAAGTTTGAGGCATGATTTTGAAACTCAGTGTCGTTGGAACCATCATGTCTGTGGTTGACACTATTATGTCTTAAACCTTATTTAAAATTTAAGGTTTCCTTTTTTTATTCATCTATACATAGTCCTCCTTCCATCTTCAATATTTATTTTCTAGAAATATTATTGTCTTATATTTAATAAAACTCCGAATATATTATTACTCTGTTTTTTATATATTATAGAATATATTATTATTAGTATATTATTATTTTTCATTGAAATTCGGAGTATGTTATTTTTTTTGGATACATGAGTATGTTATTAATCTCTTTACCAACTCTTTAGACTTTTGGTCATTCCAGTTGATTTGTTGTGCTACTGATTTCTCGGACTTATGTTCCGTGTAGCTTCGCTTTTAATCTTTTTTCTTCTCAAGATGGAGTGTTCTAGCTATTTATAACACCTCGCAATTCTAAATTATATATTAAAATATATTAGATGAGAATTAAAGGGAAGGATTAGTGAAAATCCTGAAAATTAGGCCAAAATACAAAGAAAGGGCAAAACGGTAAATTAATCATGCACACAACCTTAGGAAGATAAAAAATTGAGTAGTTTGAAGTTTGTCATCATCAAAAAGGGGGAGATTGAAGAATCAAAGTGATGATGTGGTTGTCACGTACTCAAAGTTAATACATTTGATGATTCCACGTCAACATAGTTTTGATGATAACAAACAAACTCAAAGAGGAAAGCTCAAGGACAAAGCAACATCCAAAAGCAATTCAAGTATCAAGTCTCAAGCAACAAGCCAAGTCCAAGATCTCATTGGTATATTCATTTAGGACTTAGGAAAAATATGTAAAGGTGTATAGGTTCTAGCATTGCATAAGCTCAAGTGCATTCATATAATTACCTAATCGGAAATTGCTTAACAACCTTGATCTAATAAGTCAAAAGTGCATCAAAAGGTTTTTTAAGTAACTTAAGCACGTAAGCATCATGGCAAAACATAATCACACATATTCATGGCCTTACATCACTCATATGTTTTAAAAGAATGCATTGTCAAAGAAATGACAAAATAAATGGTTTGATATGCACAAAATTGGTTTGGAAAGGAACCTACATGATATAAACACTTCTAGATACATTCCATAACCAATCACATGCTTTTCATGTTGTAAAAACCATTTATGAATGAAAAGAAACTCAGAATTCGTGCAAAAAGTGAGCTGCCATGAAATATCCTGATATTGTACTGAGAATATCCGGATACAATATCTGGATATCAATATCCGGATACCACATCCGGATATTAATATCCGAATATGTGCCCAATAAATATCCGGATATGTACAGATTACAACGGCTATAAACGGATAGAAACAGCTAGTTTTCGAAAGAGGTGTCAATATAAATACCCACATCAGCTGTGATGAACAGTACACGACCATAGATCAATTATTGAAGCTTTATTACTCTTTCTAGCCTATTATTTCTCATTAATCACTTACTTTGATCATTACATACACTTGAGCTCATATTTCCTTTGAAGCTATACACCTATTAGTTCTTCAAGTTGTAAAATCTGTACTTTGAGAGTACTTAGCCTTTCTTAATCATCTCAATCTTACTTCTTGATTTGAGAGGGGAGTGAACCCTTGTGTTAGTGAAGAAAAATTGTTAGTCTCCAAGTGACCGAAATCTTGGAGGATATTGTAGCGGTTTGTTGAGCACCCTTGAAGCTCAACCGAATAGTGAAAGTTGACAAAACGGCTTTAGTCTGGACGTAGGTCACAGTGGTGGTGACCGAAGCAGGATATATCTCGTTTGCAATATCTCTAACCCTTATCTTTGCATAAGCATTGTTAGATCATTTGAGCATATTTAATTTCATACATTGTCATTTATTTACTTGAATTATTGCTATTATTTAGTCTCTTTGTGTAGTAAATTATTTGAACTCAAGAAAATATTTTTCAAAAAGAAAAGTGAGGCATTTTGTGAAAATATTTTTAAAACTCAATTCACCCCCTCTTGAGTTTGAGGCCCCTTGTCCAACACCTATAATATTGGTTGAACACTTTGCAATGGTATTGGGTAGAAAACCAAGCTATTCATTGGTAGGTAGTGCAGTAGTAACAAAATAGTTTACACACAAGCAACTTATTCAAACTCATGTTAAGGCTGCACAAAAGCGAGCAAATGATTTAGACTTGGAAGTGCAAAAGTTAACTGAGATTACAAACAAAAAAGAAAAGGCCAACATCCAACTTTGATCTGATTTGCAGTGTCAATGTGAAATGATTAATACTCAACGTTCAACATTTGAAAACCAACATGAGCAAATGAAGCAAGACCTTGAAAAGGAGATAAAACATGAAATGGCTACATTATTAGGAGGATTGTCATTCAATGGACTAACTAGTGCCTTCGGTGGTCCTAATAATAATGTACTTTTTTTTGTATATTGAATTTTTTTCTTAATATCTTTATTATGACATGTTGTGCTGGGTTATATTTTTCAAAAGTTACTAATTACTTTGTTTTTATTTGCATAATCAAAATCCTTGAATTTGTAAATGTTTCATTATCATTTTTGACATTTAATTTTTTTTAATGTAAGAATTCTATAACACTTAGTAGTATATTGATTTATAAATATTTTGTATTGGATATTTTTTTATTTTAATTATTGTCAATGAATGTTTGATTAACAATTTATTTTAATTATTTAAAGGTCTATAAAATTTTAATGTATTTGTTTAAAATTATTTAAAAAAGAAATAATTATGATTACATTAATGTGATACTATAAGTATGATTTACGAATAAGCTATTTGTCATAATTACAAATAACGTCTAGTTATAAAATATATTAATCATTGTAAATAAATTATAAAAGTGACAAAAAAATCAGTCCAAATTATTTGAATAACAGTGACAATTTATGGGTCACAATAACTAATGTTATGCGACGATTAAATCATCACTAATGATATATATTTGTGACAATTTATTTTTGTCATTATTAATCATAGATATTGTTTTGTCTAGCCTAATGAGCTAGTATGTTTATCTTGGATCTAGGTGCTCCTTCTAAGGTATCTATGAGTTATATACCCTTGAGTTTAGCAGATCATTATGCACAAAGAACAATAGAACAATAGATGTATGTGCACAGTGACATCATAAAAGTAAAAGAGAGACTATCATACCTGTATACTTTACCTCTTATTTATAAAGTTTTCCTAGGGGTATTGGATTCCAGACTTTCTGTGCCTTTACTAGCAGCCCAAGCGCATGTATTACACTGTCGTATTAAGATTGATATCCTTGATGGATATCCTCCCTTAATTATATCAGATTTATATTTGGATTGTCTTTTGTTGGGCTTAACAATAAATAGGCATCACATATAGTCCATAACAGATATTAATGACAATGTTTTTGTCGTATTATTTTAGTGCCGTTTCAAAATATCATCACTAATTTAATAGTGGCGTTAGTATCAGTGACGACTATTAACAAATTAAAATATAGTCACAAATGTATCTAAGTGACGATTTGTATTACTTTTAATGATGATTATTGTCATCACAATTTTTTTTTTCTTGTTGTGATTATTTAATAATTTATTATTATATAAAACTTTAAACAACACTTGTTTTTGAATTCCATAACATAACCCTAATTATCCTTTTTGGGGTAAGACAAATCCATCATATATCCATTGGGCAAGAAAAGAGACCCACACATATGAAAGTAATCTCACTGTTTGGAATTTCGTTACTTGAATCATGAATCAAAATCTAATGTTTTTGATTTGAATATAATAGTACCCAACTCATTGATGATATATAAATAACATTTACCTCATAACGTTAATTTAGTTGACCTAAACCTAAGCGTATTGTCATACTGATCAATAGTCACGAGCAGTAACAAGGGGGGCAATTATAGCACCGCATGGCGCTCGTGACACTTGTAAACAAGACATAAGCGGTTTATTAAAATCTCTAGAGAATATTTCGTACGCGATATTTTTTAAGATTTTCAAGAAATTAAATTTTTTTAAATTTTAATTTTTAGATATTATCGTAAATTAAATGTAAAAATTATATTTCTGAAAATCAAGATTTTCGAAAAAAAAAATTTCTTTTCTACTAAATGTCCCGTAGGTTACCTTTACCATACGAAGTGATTCCTTCAATCACAACAATTATTATTTAGTCGTATGGTAGCTTTTTTCTTCTTCTTTTCTTTTAGGCTTAATGCCCTCCGTTTATACGAAAAAAAAATTATTATTTCATTAACCATTTTTTCTTTTTATTTCACATGTCAAAAATCGTGGATGATAAAAAAAAAGTAATAAAAACAAAAAAAATTAAATAGGAAGATAATATACCTATCTCCCTTGAAAATTGTTACTACTACTTTATCCCACTTTCTCAATCTAATATCTAGTACCAACCCGACAGAACAGGTCCGATCTTGCCAGCGTGGCTCCCATTTACCAACTAACTCAATTCCCATTTCACCTACTTCATAACGAAATGCCTCGCGCTTTATCTTCACGACTTTACCTTCGCAATCTGCCGCCCACTTCAACGGCCCAGATTCTCCAAAACGCACCTATGCGCGTGAGATTAGCTTTACACGATAGGGCTTCAAAGTCATTTCACAACGAAGAAGCTGGAAACACTTGGTTCCGAAGTAACTGCACCGGGCCATTCATCTTAGCATGCGCTCGAACGTAGTGTATCACAAGCTATAGTATTGACCGTAGGATCAACCCCTTACTCAGTCAACTCATCGCATCCAACGGCTAGAGGTACGATTGCCGCCAAATATTCAGCGAGTGTTGACTACGCGCCGTGCTTTCCCAAACGGAACAAAACATCCAAGCTTTTCATTTTCAGTTTCAGTTTTAGTTTCAGTTTCAGACATTTGTTGGTTTTTTTTCAATTTAACTTTCACTCCACAAACACACGCACACACAGAGACAGGACAGCATGCAAATGTTGCAACAACTAATAAATTGAAGAAGCTTCAGATCACATTTTACTATTGGTTCTCATTTTCAATCTCACTCTCTTCAATGGTACACAAAACAACCTCTCTCTAGTGTTCTTGCTCTCTATCTAATCTACTCTTGTTTCTTGTCCACTGCATATGTTTGTTATATAATTGTTTTTGTTATTATTGTTGAAGCAACTAGAAGAAAAAACAGTGATCATTTTAATTTTATAGTCTAATTGTTCCACTGTGGTTTGTGGTTCCCAGGAAGTGTAGATTTGAGGCCAAGAGGTTTCACGTTTATCAGGTAATTGTCAGATCTAGCTTCACACGTGCTAGTTCAGCTACAATTTGATGGATGAAGAAGTGTTTCAGTGTTTGCTAGTTCTTGCTCGTAGCAGATCTTGTTGATTCTAGTTCCATATATTGTATTCTTGGTGTGTTTGGTTTACTGCTTCAGTTTTTGGACTTGCTTGGTTTTGCGGCATTTCGTTTGTGTCTTTGTTGATTATTGATAAGCTATGATTGTTGAGGTTTTCAAGCTCAGGAGATCAATTGATCAAACATAATTTGTGCCTTGTGGTTTATTTGATTATTTTTTTATTTTTATTTTCATGCACTATTATTGTCGGTGACAACATATTAAGGCAATGAGTGGTGGCCCATTATTTGGTATAGTATTATTATTGCATGAGTGAAAAGATGCGATCAATTTTGTACATGATGTCTTTTTACTGTTGATAGTTATAGGTCATGATTCCCTTGACACATAATTTCAAAGCCTTTTAGGATTACATTGGCCTACCTTTCTTTTTTTGATATAGGGTGAGTATTACACCCCAATTTGTCTAGGAAAATTATTCTCTTTTTAATTACCTATTATTCAAGGAGAAGGAAACTATTTATTCTATCTGAGTAAGAATTTCCTTGTGGCGAAAATATGTTGTCCCATTTCACCCAGAAAATTTTACCAAAGTGGAAAAGAAGTTACCAGTTCCTAGCATACTTAAATTAAATGAGATACTATTTCTACCAAGAAAAAAATTAAAAAGAGATCCTATTTCTTAAGCAGAGACTACTGAATTATGTTTGAAATTCTGTAGCATCTTTGGTATGTTTAATATGAGGTATTACTTAAATGTGATAACATTTTATGAGATGTTTTTTTTAAAACTTCTGAAATCATGTCTTCATGTCTTTAAATTCCTTCTTTAAGTTTATCTGAATACTTCAGCTAATTAAGTGGTGTCCAGGCCAGCATATGAATGCTAATTATAAGCATTTATCCCACAAGTTCCAGCATATGCTTTGCTACCTGATGACCATAATGAATTATGTATCTCAACCATACAAGACTGTGGGGGTAATGGTATAAACTATGCCAATAGTTCACTGCTTAATCTTAGTTGCAATAATAAATTAACTAAATTTGACGATCTTGTTTATTATTCATCTTGGATAATTTCTAGAATAAGGGTATATTTGGTTTTTGTATTGTTTATTTACTTTCTTATTTAACCATATGAAAAAATTATCAAGGGGATCAATTTAGAAATTGGGTTCACTGTTTTTCTGCTACAGTTTGTGATCTCAGAATGGGGAAATCACCAGGAAAATGGATCAAAACCGTGCTATTTGGGAAAAAGTCATCCAAATCAAGTATTTCAAAAGGAAAAGAGGTAATACTATGAATTAAAGCGATGTGACAACTCACAACTCTGTTCATTGTTAGACTATATTTCATATTACACACGTATGCATCGACATTTTTCATTTAAATGACATAATTGGTGACATAACAGAAATAATCAGCTCCAGATAGCCCTTACATTGCCACCAAAATGGTATCATTAGAATTATTAATAAATTGTTGTCATGATAGAGAATATAGGGTAGGAAAAAGAGAACATGGATTTTGTTCTCCAGTATGTATAGGCCAAAAATCAGTTTCCTCTCAGACAGTTTCATTGCTGTAAAACTACATTCTGCTTTGGTGTCAAAGCCATGGGACTATACTTTTGGTTGATACTTTGATTGTTTTGTGCTCACCTTGTTCAGCAGTATTTGCCAAACACCTAACATTGTGAACAAGAAATATAGCTAGGGTATATAACTGCTGTTGTGCTATTAAAAATATAACTTTCTCCGAAAAATGAATGTATTTTGTTATGATCTTTCCCTTGGTGAAACTTCTGACTTCTTTTACTATATTGTTGTGTAGAAGCTTGTTAATAACAAAGAAGCAGTGGTTGCTTCCAATGTGTTCGAAAATGGTTTGGCTTTAGATCCATCCCCCAATAAGATCGACAGAAATGAGGAGCACCTGGAACCAAGGAATGAAGAATCTGAAAGTCTTGTACCTGGGAACCAAGAAATGGACATCATGGGATCTGTTGACCAAGATGCATCACCTGATCCAGAGAAAATAAGGCAGGAGGAAGCAGCAACAAAGGCGCAGGCTGCTTTCAAAGGTTACTTGGTAGGTGTCTTACTGTTTTAAAGGCACTTAACTGATCAAATTGTTAGTGTCTTTCAGTCTAAAAAAATTATAATTTTGAAATGTAGTCTGGGATATGATATCTACATGTAGACTGCATAAAGATAATAAACTATGGAACTTATTTTCTATTATGATGTTAAATTTAATTGTCATAACATCTGACTTGAGGGCTGAATGGCCTTTGACACATGTATAAGAGAAGAAAAAAGGAGAGTGAGCTGGAGAGTGTTGGGCCAAGGGAAATTATAAATGTTTATGAGAGGAGAAATAGGAATGCTGCCAGGAGTGAATTCTCAGTACTCCTGTAGTAGATACTACCTTCCTAAAGTAAGAGATAATTGAACTCATGTGGCATTAAAAGTAAAGAAGTGAGTGGAGTAAATGCACTTAGGTGAGTCATGATTTTCTAATTTTAGTGGGGGTAGCACTGAGTCCTTAGCACTACAGGAGTATTGAAAATTTATCATTCTGCTAGGAGTAAGGAGGAAAAACGGGTGGGAGAGTGTAACAGATTGTACACGTGGCAGCAAGGCATTGGAGAGGAGATCTGTACAATGATGGGTGAGAGAAAAGGAAACATAAATAAGGAGGGGATGGGGGAATAAGGAAGGAGCAGAACAGAATTTTGGGAGTAAATTGGTGGCTTAGGCCAGGGAGGGCAGACTCTGTGTATCAGCTCTGATCGTTATCTCATATTTTGTGTATTTCTTTTGTTCAGTATCTGTGTTTCTGTTTATTAAGCAGTAACTTCTTCCTTGTCAAGGAGACCTCCTTTTTGAGTTCTATCCTATTTTCATTATTAATTCCAGTTCCCATCAAAGGCTATAGTTGATCAAGAAATTAATAATTTTAGCGGATTTCTTGTTACTAGAGCACATTTTTTAAGTTGAATGTGGTACTTAGGGTTAGAATCCCTAGACGTCTATAACTCCCCCTTCCCTCATTTTCTAAAATTTTTGATCTTATTTTATAAAATATTATCTCTGAGACTCTGACATGTTTACTTGTCAAAAGGATTGGTCAAGTCAATGTGGCAACTACATGTTTTGTAAAAGAAATAAATCTAAGAATTTTCTTAATGTTGAAATTAGTTCTCAAATGTTTTCCCGTTGGATATCAACTCTTTCTGGCTTCCACTGTCATGACACTCTTTTGATAGAAATCATATTTCATCAATTAATGTATTGCAATCTTAATTTCTTTAGTACTTCTGTCTCTTTTTAATTCATAAATATTTTCCTGAAAGAGTTGGCATATGAACATTTTTTAGAATATTGGAATTATCTCCATGGAGTTCTGATTGTATGTGTTAATGAAAATTGCAATATTTGATATAAACTAATGGAAGCATCTCTTGTGAAGGCTCGCAGGGCTTTTAGGGCCCTAAAAGGCATAATAAGGTTGCAAGCACTTATTCGCGGGCACTTGGTTAGGAGACAAGCTGTTGCTACATTATGCTGTATGCATGGGATTGTAAAGTTACAAGCACTTACTCGTGGAGGAAGGGTTAGACAGTCTGATGTTGGATTTGAAATTCATGAGAAGTGCAAACTATTTAAGCCTCTGGTATTGTTTTCTAAGAATCCATAAATTATCAATACTTTGCCATATTACTTATATTGTTCAAGGCATTTTTCTGATTATGTGAGTATATAATGTGCCTGACTATCTAGGTCAAATCAGAACAAAATGATTCTATTTAATGTGAAAATTTTGGCTGAACAGGTAGCATATTCAAAAATGAGGACTGAGTGGCCAATAAATGGGTTTTATTTTGATTAACTACTACAAGATGTAGGGTGGCCTCTTATCATCCCTTACTTTTTGTCTTAATCAGAACTTGTTAAGGATTGTGTTCAACAAACATTTTGACCAATTATTGTATAGAATGAAATATTAATACAAGTGAACAATGTGTATTTATTGAACAACGTGTGAAAGTTATAATGAGTTCCTTTTGGTTAGTGGATGGTGCATCAATCAGGTATTGTTAGATAGCACCAAGTTTACCACTAATTCATGCAGAGAGAGAGAAGGAGGGTTTATTCTGCACGTATAATATTTTTTTTATTTTTGGAAAAATTACAAAAAAAAAAGGGAATTCTAGGTGAAAATATTTATAATTTGGGAACCTTCAACTACTCCACTGGTTAATGATGTTCAAAACTTGTAAATAATGGTTAATGAATAACCACTTGTTGACTTAATTAACCACTTCAGTGGTTAATTGCTCCTACGTTGAAAATAGGTTCACCAAGAATCCCTTTTTTGGTCATATTTCCCTTTTTTTTACTACTGCTAGTGCTAAGATTTTTCCTTTTGAATGTGTTGTGCTTGTGCATTTGTGCTTCAGGATGGCAAACTTGGTGAGCCTGTTGGTATTCCCTCAAAAATTTCAAAGCTGTCAGCGAATTCTTTCACCTGCAAGGTAACTTAAAGTATGCCATGCATGTGATACAATTATGATTATTATTATTTTGTATACTTACTTATTCTGGATAGGTTTCATTATATATATGTTGAAATATATAAAACTATTAATGTAGCCTCACCCAACTGCTTAAGCTCTTGGGTTGAATTGGTTCTTTACATGGTATCAGAGCCTCGTGTCCTGGGTTCGATCCTCACCGCCCCCCACTTTCTTTAGCCTCACCCAACAGCTTAAGCTTTTGGGTTGAATTGGTTCTTTACAATAAATATATATATATATATATATATATATATATATATATATGGGAGAGGGGGTGTTAACCGTACTACAATTTTACATGTGAGAAGATAGAATTTAGATCCTCATGGTTGAGAGAACAACAGAGCTACTGTCTCTGTGTTTTCTCTCTATGAACAAGTGGGACCTACCTGGTAGAGAGATACAGAAAGTAAAACACATGCTATATGCTCTCAACCACAGGATTTCAAATACAAACACAGACCTAAGGTATCGCTCATCTCTGAAGAATATTAATTTTTTATTATGGCACCTTCAGGGATGGGTATGTAATTTCATTTTTCTTAATTATTGTAATGATGAATTTTGGTATTAAGGAACGTTAAAAAATGGCATGTGTTTTTTAAGTGGAACTGACTGTGAGCCTTAAACACAAGCTGAGCCAGAAGTAGTTACAAATATGGCTTGGCTGTCTTTATAAGCTTATATTTGTAACAACCATTAGCTTTGTATATGTTACAAGTTTTACCGTAGTTACCTTTTCTTTCCCCTTCCCTGTTTCTCTTCTTCCTAAAGCATTCCATTCACAACAAATCTTGTTTACATGGTCTACCATTGTTTGAAATAAGAGGAAGATCAAAAGGTTCTGCTTTAATGGTTGTCTCATCGTTTTGAAGATCAAAAGTTTTACCATTTTCTTGTATGTAAGGCTTCTTGTTGTTAGGTATGCTGACATAAGAATAAATACTATAGTATCACTTCAAAGACAGTTTATTTATGTCATAATAGATCAGAAGGTGGAACAAGCGTGAGGCTATTAGATTTGCTGAATAATTCTTAACCATATCAACATTTTGAGATAGCGCAAATTAATTAATTAAATCAGATGACATTGACATGATTGTAAAATTAATAAGATATTGATGCCAAAGAGTGCATGTTCTCAATTCTAATTGCATCAGCAGCTATTTATAATCTGCTAATTTGTTATTCAATTACTTGCATTATTCACGGAGAAGAGTAACAGGCTTTTAAGTCACCTGTGGCGTACTCATGTAAAAGCTGGAGGAACTCATGTTATATTATAATTAAAATTATAAGAACATGTTTGAATTCGCCCCTAGTGGGTTTATGTGCAATATTGTTCTTGTCTTACTATTATTTACTTTAGTCAAATCTGGAAATAAAGGGGTTTTTCACTTATATTGCTTTCTGCTTAAATTATCTGGAGCACACCCTCATACCAAATATGTGTTTTGATCTCTTTTAGTCAAATTGGGCATGTGAAAATATTAGTTTGTTGTTTCAGCTTCTTGCTCCATCAACTACAATAATGGCCCTGCACATACAATATGTTAGTGGGGATCCAAATTCAGTCTTAAGTTGGTTGGAGCGCTGGTCAGCATCTTACTTCTGGAAACCAGTTCCGCAACCCAAGAAAATTCGAGACTCTAAATCTCAGAGAAAGCAGGGTAATATTTCAATTGGAGAAGCTCAAATTAGCAAGTCAAAACGTACCAACAGGAAGCTTCCTACTGCAAATTTCGAATCAGTCCCGGTGCAAACAAATCCTGACTTTGAGAAACCAAAACGTAATTTCCGGAAAATCTCAAGCCAATTGTTAGATCCAGAGCAAGAAAATCCACAAAGTGAGCTTGAAAAGGTTAAACGTAACTTGAGAAAGATTCATGACCCAGTTGTTGGGAATGCTGTTCTGTCAGAAGTTGAATGTGAGACCCCAAAGCAGCATTTGGAAAAAGCAACAGTTACTGCAGTTCATGATGCTGTTTCAGAACAAGGGCTCATTACTTCTAATGAAGAGATCAAGAAGGAAGAAACCCTGACCATCTCCAGTGTACCTGATATGGAAATTACTCCAAGACCCTCAGTTAACAAGGAGGTGTGTGACATTCCAAGCAGTTATCAAGTGAGTGTAGAATCAAAGCCCTTCGTAGAGACTACAACTGAAGATAGAAACACTTCTGTTGACGAAATTAAAAATGTGCTGAGCAATCTACCAGAGACTATTTTTAAAGATGAAAACTCTCCATTAAAAAATGGAGATTTGAATCATAAGGAAGAAATAACGGGTAATGAAAACCAGAAGCCTACTCGGAAAGCCTCAATCTTGGTGAAGCACGAGCATGCAGAGAATGGTTTAGTGAATAGTCCAACATTACCAAGTTATATGGCAGCAACTGAATCTGCCAAGGCAAAGTTAAGGTTACAAGGGTCTCCAAGGTTGGGGCAAGATGGAAGTGAGACGAACAACCCTGTTGGGCGTTCAACCAACAGCAAGATTAGTTCACATTCACCGAGGACACGGAGATCAATTCAAGGAGGTGGCAAAGGGAGCCACAAAAGTGACAGGACTATACCATCTTCTACAGGTGGGAATGGTATGATATAGTTCTTCCAACATATAGTGGTTTGAAAATATGTCACATTATGATTTCACGTAGAATTTTTCTTTTTTAAAGAGGTTTAAAACTGAATTGTCAGTTTGATGTCACTTGTCCCATCCGAAGTGGGATAAATCTTATCTTGGTCATGTGAAACAAAAAATATCATCGAGAAAGTTTCTGGTTCTTAATAGCTTAGTGTCTTGATCTCAGATTCCAAAACAGTACTTGTCTTTTTATGCATAGTAAATCAACTTGGTAGAAGTAAACTTCTAATTTCCATAATGAGTCAATTATATGCTGGTGTATGCTTTTGTTTTCTCATGATTGATAATCATAAACTAACCTGTTCATCTTGCAGGGAAGGTAATTCAAGCAGACTGGAGGAGGTGATATGAGGAAGATTGGTTTTCAGGAGTTGAACGTGAGGAGGTTGAAACTGATGTGGGGTTATCTCTGTTGAAGGTTGTTGAAATGATAGGTCCATAATATGAGCCGTGTTTGATCAGTTTCTTTACTCTTTTCCTGCACTTCGGATATTTGAGGGTGAATTGTGTACAATGTAGGTTTTGAGTTTTGCATGCTGCAACTATACCAAGTCCATGTTCTGTTTGTTTCCCGTATGATTCCTTGTTTGTTCATATTTTATTTTTTAATTTTTTTTTTCTGAGTGTGTATGATCTTTAACTTGTGCCTTTGTTTGTGTTCCTCAGAACTTTTCTGTTTGGACAAGTATGGTCTTGTAACATGAATATGCTCATACGAGATTTCTTCAGCCATGACAATCTAGTTTTTGGCATTTAAACTCGTGAAGGATGGATCCTATTGTTATATTGACTTTTATGATTCCCCTATTGTTATAGTAGAAAAAAGAGGACCAGTGTTGAGTGTGCAAAACCCAAACCAAAAACATTTCTTGGAAAAAGAATAGGAGTTGCTATTTCTGGCCTGCATTTTTGCTGGAAAAAATATTTCTTAGCTCTTGGTAGGAAAAAGGCATGGACCACGAAATGGTCTCTCAGTTGAAATAGGACTGCTTTGTTCTTTCATTTATTTATTTATTTATTTTTTTTGATAGACTTCATTTATTTATTTTTTACCTAGCTACGGAGCTAACAAAAAAATATTTAAGATGAGGTGTCATGATATATGCTATTTGTATATGATATTGTGCTTATTAGTGAGATTATAACTGGTGTTAATAATAAATTAGAATTAGAAGAAGCATGTCGGAGTCTAATGACTTTATGTTAAGTTGGAGTTACATTGAGTACATGAAATGTAAGTTTATTTCAATAACATCGGATATGAACCACGGCATATGCTAGGACAGGAGGTATTGAAAAAGATATTTTTAGATATTTGGAATTAATATTGCAAAAAGGAGAGATTGATGATGATAGTATTTTTAGATATGTGGAATTAATATTGCAAAAAAGGAGACTGATGATGATGTAAACTATCGAATCAAAATAGGTTGGATGAAATGATATTGTGCATTAAGGTTTTTCTGTGATCATAGCATCCCTCTGCGTCTACAAGGAAAATTTTATAAAACAATTATAAGGCATCCAATGTTGGTCCAAGAATGATGATATTAAAGTAAATGTGTGATCAAGAATGAATAAGATAAGAAATGAATATGTATATTGGTGGTTAAAAAGAACAGAAGTAGAACATGATACAAAGAGAAGAAAAGGCTTGGGAAAAGTAGTAGAATAAAATTTTATGGGAGGGTTATCTTTCACCAATTAATATTTAAATGTAATAAATTTTCAACTTGGGCCATTAGGGACAGAAATTCAATTCCTGATCCCTTGGTTGTCCATTGATCTATCATGATTATAACTAGAGATAAAGAAATTTTTCTTTAATATCTCTTATTTCGGAGATAAAGAAACTTCCACATCCCCAACAAATGGGGCGAGTACTAACTTTAAGAAACGCCACTTAAAACTGGTCTTATCACAAGAATATTAGATATACAACTCTATATTCATATTTATATAAAATTGCATAAACAGCTTATAATTTAACTCATTCAATGCAATAGCGTAAGAATTACTATGCACTTTCGTGCTCACGTAGTGTCAACATTCATTATTTAATTTAAATATATAAAACAGAAAAATAAGTCATAAATAGTTGAAACTTAACAACCTAATTATACATCATAAAAATACTCTATAAAATGGGGGGAAATGACTAAATTCTATATGCAAGTCCAACACGGTGCCAATGCCAACTGCTAAAAACATGTACAAATCAAACCGCAACAAAAAAATATGTACGTTCCACCATCTCCCAAAACATAGGACATCCATCACTGAAAATTGACTGAACTAACTTGACTGGGATTGATCACAACCCCATGAACTGGCGCTGACCGGCGCCAGTTTCTACGTTGCCTTGCAGCAGGAGATGATGATAGTTCAACGCCAGGAGGAATTGGAACTTTCTGCGAGTGGCCAGAAATACATAGAGCACCAGTGTCATCTTGCTCCCAGTATACTTCTACCATAGACCCTGTGGGGCTTTCTGCAGACTCTGTTCCTGGAATTCCCACAAACCTAGCTCCTATAGGAATCTGCATGATTATTGTATTTGATCAGCAGAAAAAGGGCTAGTTATCATAGTTACAACTCATATTGAATTGAAAAGCAAAAGGATAATATCTGAAGGTATACATATAACTTACACTCTCAATCTTGGTTGTTGATTCAATTTATATTTAACGGCTCTGATTTATTAGATATGTGTGCCGTTAGATGCAAACAAATCAATGATCAAGATTTGGTGTAAGACTTCTTATTCTTACACCGGTATATATATATATAGAGGCAGGATCCTTTGACACCTCATCTGAGAGCCGTTAGATTAAAAAAGATCAACGGCTCTGATTTGTAAACATGTGACACCATTGATCTTTTTTAATCTAACGGCTCTCAGATGAGGTGTCAAATTTAAAATTTGACACTGGTGTCAAAGGATCCTACCTCATATATATATATATATATATATATATATATAACTGCTCGGTACTCTAAAGCTCCCGCAATGGGTGGTATAGTAAGCAACCTTACGTTGCATATGCAATAGGTTAATTACATGAATCGAACTAGTGACCATCGAGTCATAACACCAATGTTGTGCCAAGTTTTCCCTACTAATTGTACTAGTGCATAAATAAGCATTTTGTATTCATTTTGTGTTGAAGAACAAACCAATTAGAACTCAACCTCTTAAAACTTAAAAAGTATGTCACAGAATAGAACAACCGAAAGCAAATTAGGATTACACTTACCTGCGCAGACTCTCCAGATGTTAAGGTCAGAGTCACTAGGCTCCCTTCAGCTGTAGCGCTTTCTAGCTCTGCTTGCTTTGCAATATTCAAGAAAACTTCTTCAAGAGTTGTTAGACCCAGCTGGATGTCAGATATGCCAAATTTTTCTTCTCTATCTTGGAGCTCCGCAAAAAAATTCTGCTTGGGAAGCAACACGAATGTAAGAAAATATTATGAATCATATAATTAATCACAATCTTCTGTACTATGATTCATTTGCTGTGTGCAATGCATAATTCTCACAATATATATGCTACTTTGGTCCCCATTTCATCCTGTTTCTATGTTAGCTAAAGAATTTTCAGCTTTATATCAAATACATGTGGCATGTTCACAGGATTACAATTAAGAAGTCTACGGGGAATGTAGATATAGGAGTTATCCCTGATTATAAACTGTGACATTACATCGGTTGACTGGTTTCATTTTGAAAATATTTTCATGAAGAAAGGGAAAACTGAACTCACCAAAGACATGTTCCCAAATTATTAAAAGACAATGCATGGATGAATCATTAATTTTATTTTCTTTTTAGGCAACAAAAAATCTGTCTTTTTTTTTTTTTTTTCCCATTTGAAATTAAGGATAGGTGATTTCAGGTAATACACAAGATAAGTAGGCTTCACTATATTACAATTAATATCCTAATTAAATATAAAATACCAATCAAACATTAATTTCTTAAAATAAGACATCCTAATCGTATCAAATTAAAAAGGAAACCTTAACAAGACAATATTTTCCTTAAATTCTTAAAAATAATGAAAGATCTCTTAAATAAGGGGAAATTCTAAACTAACATAATAATTCCTAAATAACACACTAATTATTAAATATGCTTCTTCGTTCTATATCATATTAAAAAGTTTACATGATCAGCATAACAAGAGTAACTATTGCGACTAAGCTAAAAATTCTGCCAGTGGATCAACTTAAACTAGAAAATTCCAATAAAGATCTGCGTCCATGTTGATCAGTGTTTTAGCAACAGTTAAGGCTCAAACCTATTGTTAGAGGAGATTAAAAGGAAACGGAAACAAAGCCAAGAAAAGAAAGCTTACTGTCAGAAGCGCCTCTCTGTCATGAGGAATCACAAAAGTTAGAAAGTTATTGTTCTCCTCTTTTGGCACTACATCTAAATGCTGTCAAAATATTTCAGGGGTCAAAAACCAATCCATTGCTTGTCATGGAAACATTTTAAACCATCATATTTATTCATCTTACATTCTTAAAGAACTGCTTCACTGCATCGCGCTGTTCTGTGGAAATTGCATCTCCGTTGGGAGGACTGTGATGGATATTGTTTCCATAGAAGCTGATATTAGCAATAAAACCAGTACCAAAGCGTGACTTCAATCTGATTGAGGTGCCAATGCATCGAAGCCTTCCCTTTGCCATGATTCCTATGCGGTCACTTAAAATGTCAGCTTCTTCCATAGAGTGTGTTGTAAGAACAATGGCACGTCCTCTTTTTGCATTTTCAATTATGTCCCACACATGCCTCCTTGTTATTGGATCCATACCAGTTGTCTAAGTATTAAAAATGAAACATTAATCTTGTAATCATGTCAGACAGAATATATGCTTGAAAGGAAATATCCTGCATTGCATACCGGTTCATCCAAAATGACTAATTTAGGGTCACCAATAAGGGCAATTGCAACACTGAGACGACGTTTCATTCCTCCACTATAACTTCCAGCTCTCACTTTAGCTGATTCTGTGAGTCTCACCTCTTCCAATGAAGTCTTGGTAATCTATATTTTTCAGAACAACTTGAATTAAAGGACTGAGAAGCACAATTCCTTAATAAAAGTGTATGTGTGTTTCTGTGTATATATATCATTGCCTGTACAGAACGATTTCAGGCCTAAGCATACATACTGATTGTATGGAAGTTGGGGACAGGCCTTTAATAGTAGCAAATAGTTGGAGGTGTTCTTCACCAGACAGCGCATCCCATAGGATATCAAACTGTAGATTAGAAAATTCAATAACAGATCAGTCATTTGCTAATGAAGATAGAAGAGAAAGTCATTGCACTGAAAATCATATTCATGCATTCTTTTTGTGATAAGATATCCGTCCATGCATGAAAAACATGCATAGTGAGAGAGAGAGAAACACCTGGGGACATACTCCTATAAGCTTTCGAATGTTTGACATGCCAGTGGAGCTTCGGACAGAATTTCCATAAATCAATGCTGTTAAGGAAATTGAAAATGTTAATATACTCTTGAATATATATCAACATTTTGATTGATGAATGGTCAATGTAGTGTTTAAAGAGAGATAGGCACAGACAGAGAGAGTATCACCATCTCCGTCAGTTACTGGAGTTATCCCAGTCAAACAATTAATAGCTGTAGTCTTTCCAGCTCCATTGGGTCCTAAAAGACAAAATAACTGATCCTTTTCGAGGTTCACCCATAAATCCTGAAAATAATTTGAGAATACCACATTGATCATCATTCAAATATCGGTCACTCTCATCAGGAAAAATAATTACAATCTCCACCACATTGCCATGTTGAAACATGAAATATGTGGGATATTCAGTTAAAATAATATATATATATATATATATATATATATATATATATATATTTGTGTTTTTTTTTTTGGGGGGGGGGGGGGGTAAGTTAAGACAAACAGCAAATTGATAATCACTATCCAAAAAGAAATAAAGCTGAGAAGATCTTTGCATGTTCATAGTTTGTATAACTATATGAGCTATGGATAGATAGAGCGAAACTGCACCTATATTATTACTGAGGGAAAGGCTTTGACATGAATCAATTATCTCAAATATTTACGTTGTTAGGTGAAAGCATATGAATGATTTATGTCTAACACATTCCCTCACATAAGAATTCTTTGGACTTGAAATATAGATAAAGCACAGGACCATGTGTACTTTTGAGCTGATGTTTCACTATTATTTAGAAGAATGAGGCAACAAGGATTGAATTCATGAACACTTGATCATAGAAGCTCAAATAGCATGTCGTGAACCAACTATCCCAAAAACTTAAGCTTTCGGGTAAAAACACATGAATCTTTTTATAACTAACAGCTTCAACCATGCAATTTATTGCATGAAAACAGCAGAGGAAAAGAAGTTTTGTTCAAATCATCCCAACTTCTAAGACCAAAGTTTTAACAGGAAATGCTTTACCTTAACAGCATTGTAAGGAGGAGTTCTTTTACATTTACAGCAACCAATGTTCCGTGCACCAGGATATGTCTTCGCAAGGCCATGTATCTGAACAGCAACGCTTGCGTCAACCACACCTTCTGTTAGTTTCTGTTTTACTGTGTTTTCCTCTTCAAGGACATCTTCATCATCTGGTGTACTATGCTCTTGATGTGGGGCTGAACCTATGCAACTACAAATCCTGCCCTCTACAAAAGGAAGATGAGGAAACAAGGAAGAAAAGTTAAGCCATAAAGTACAGGATAGAAGAAATGATGAACACAACTTGAATTACAAAATTAATCACCTTTTACTTTTTGTCCTCCTTTTCCCATCCAATAACCGGGATTTAGAAAGTATAGCATTGATTTTCTCACCCCTGATGCATTTGGAATTATATTGTCGAAGTAGATGGCCAGAACAAACCATAGTATGAACGTGACCAAAAGCCATATATAAATATCATTCTGTCAATGAAAGAAGAAATACTAAGTAACTGTTGAGCCACTGACACAACAAAAGCTGAATATAGAAACTACGTAACAGAGAGTAAAAGGAAAAAGCAAGAGAAAGGCTTCTTAATTAAAGGGGATTGTGGTGTTGGGATTCAGAGGTCAAATCATTGCATACAATAGTTATCACACAGTTATCATCATTAGGAGCGCATTCTCCCCGTTTACTCCAGCTAAGACCATCATCTTCAGGAGTTGAAACCGCATCTGAAAGCACTTGTAGAGCTTGAGAAAAAGGATTGGGCGGGAATAATGACCAGATATTCCGGAAAGTTTTGGAGATGCTTGTTGTGTAAGGAAATCCTGCTTGTGTAACAAGCTGCAATTATAAAAACAACAGACAAAAAGAATATGAGCATCTTTTCTTTCTGTCTAATTAATAAACCTAGTCAAGAAAGTATGAAAAGGATTCATGCCTGAGTCAGGAAGCCTATAATGAATATGGAGAAGCCTAAAGTTGTAGCTGAAGATGATTTACGAATGAAAGCCGATAACATGAAGGCTAAGCCAGTCTAAAATAAAAAAATAAATTATTGTGCATCAGAAAAATCTCCAAGTATACAAATACAAATCCCAATGAACAAGTATAAGGTGTAAAAGGTAAACTTTCCAGGAATATTCTCACCATATTGAGTTCAAACAGGAAGAACACAAGGAATAGAACCCCAAAACTGTTTTTCAAGAAAAAGCGAAACTGAAACATCATTCCAAAGAGAACTATGAGAAGGGATGATAGGAGTGTAACAACTGCCTCCCAGGTGAGCCAGGATAACCAGTAAGCAGAGTCATAAAGGCCCATCATGCTCATTGCCTGTGCCAACAAAAATACCACAATATCATCAAATGCAATTGTAAAAAGATGGCAATATCATAGGGTTATGAACTACAAATATGCGCAATGTCTATATACCTGGCGAAGTTTAAGCTCTTTTTCTGTCACCAAAGAGCTCATCTGAAGAACAAAATTAAACATGGCAATAGCAAGGAAAAATGCTGGACCAATTGAACCCACTGCAGAGAAGGGGCTCATGGCTGGATGAGCAAATTCCTTCAAAAAGACATTCCAGCTGAAGTTTGGGTCTGAATTTGTATCAATCCATCAATTAGACAGTAGCCATTTTCAAGTGTCAAACAAATTAGGCCTATGGAATAGAATTAGATAATCATTCTAGCTAGATATTTACATGATCACAAAAAGCTTGATAATGAATGAACGAATGAATTTCATACCACCAATAAGGTATCTGGCAATTTCACGCTCTGCAGCAAGCTGAAGAGGGAGTTGAAACGCAAAAGTGGGGTCTTCATATTTCCCTCGCCTCTGAAGATTAGTTGAGTTTGTCTGTACACCATAGCTGATAACAGTGTTATTTTTTTCCATGAAATGTAGAGCCCCTGGACAATACATAGGATTACTGAAAAGCCACGCATCCACTTCACCTTTATCCTTAAAGGATTTAACCTGCACCAAAAAAATACCCATAAAGAAGCTCAATTATCATTCACAAATCACATTTTTTCCTTTTTTGCCAAACAAGCCAATCCAAAGAAAAAAATGTATCAAATCAACTAATCTTGAAATGAATTAAAAAGATAATTAACCTTTAACCTTCATGCGACAACCTAGTGCTACTATCTCGCTATATTAATTGGTATTATATTATATCTCTCTAATATGTTTTATTACATGAGACTTCATTCAATTTGCTCACCTAACTATGCTAAGAAATTCGACAATATTTGATTATCTATTAATTGAATGTGTTATGGACCACCTATGTACTACCCACTTTCTATTCCCACTACATGGAGCATCTCATTCCATCACTCTCCCATAACTTCCATCCAATGCCATTAACCACCCATTAAGCATTGCATCATGCCATTAAGTCACCTACAAACTACCCACTAGGGGCAGAATCTCCTAGTGCATTCATCTATATATAACCCCTGATAGCTAACAAAGGGGATCATCTCATGACTAATCTAAGAACTCACCGCAGGTGACTCACACACACACCCCTTGTTCATACCACCGGACTTTGACCTAAGATGCAGGACTTCTCATTGTCTGTCATCTTTACCATGAGCTCCGTATATACTAATAGTAACTATCCTGCCAGATCATTAATGTTCATTCCAAAACAGAATGGGACAATTCAACTTGTAACTACTTTGTCACATAGTTGTGATACTTTATAACACCTTATAAAGAAACAATTCAAATTAAAAGCTTTAAAATGTAACATCAAGGTATATTAATGATCTTATATTTTATATTTCAGACGAATACGGAATTGAGTTTAATGGTACCTTGGCGGGAGATATAGGCCTGCCTGGGTTGTTATTCATGATACGGTCAACAATGGTGTGAAACTTGGGATTATCATCACCGCTCCACACGAAATCATAACAGGGAAGCTTGACGAAGAACTTGGTCTCGCAGGGAGGGATAGGAGGAGAGGGTTGTGGATTAGGATCGGTGACGCTCTTGTAAGAAGAGGTGTTTGAATACTGAGTCTTAATGGCTTTATCAATGGCGAAGATGAGGAATATGAATATGAGAGGAGACAAGAGTTGAAGGAGACTCGCCCTCTTGTAACGCCACGACAGCAACAAATTCTTCTTCAACAACGCCTTGTATTGTTGAAACAGTAACGGAAAACCGGTACGCAATTCCATGTTGTTTTGTTCGGGTGTGTGTGTGTCTGTCTCTGACTCTCTGTCACTGCTGGGTTAGAGACAGATGAGAGACATAACAGAAAAGGGGGTTGTGTAACTTCATCACTTGTAATGTTGGTATTTATTAAGGAAACTAGGAAAGTGATATCGTGGAATCCTTCAAATACTGATATCGTAGGCGAGTGAGAATTTCTCTCTTTCATTATCGCGAGAAATCAACTTCGAAAGTCGTGATTCCAATTTACAATGGGAAAGCGCGGTTTTTTTTATTTTTTAATTATTATTTTTTTCCTTTAGTCTTCGTTTCCAGATGAGAGCAATCTCGCCGATGCAATCTTGCCCCGCACTTCACATTGGACTACGCTAAATTTACGAGGGTTGCCATTCACGTTTTCGATAAGCGACTCTTAAAATTCACCTTTTTTTTAATAAAGTGTAAAAACAATGGCAATTTTTTTAATTAAAAAATTATACTTAAAATTTTTATGATAATAAAATAGTTTTTTTTTTAAATTATTAAACAACTAAACCCTTAATTTATTAAAATTTAAAAATTGATAACTTAATCGTTCATTTTAAAAATAAATTATTACTTAAAAGTTCATGACTAGATGAAAAATAAAAAATAAAGCAGCGTGTATTTTTGCTGATTGCTTAAAAGCTAATGAAACCTATGAAACACTGACACTTCAAAATTTTTGACAAGTCGTGTCCGACACTTTCCGATACTTCGATACTTCCCGACACTCCAATACTCATTGCAAAGACTCAAAAAATGATGTTCAAAGGTTAAGTTGCGTTGCATTTTGAGTTCCAACTATTAGATTCGGTAGATTACGATTACGAATTTATTGAGTTTAATATAAATATTTGAGATATATTATGTTTCTTTACATAATTGATGGTTATTATAAGTTCAGCTTTATTTTTTGTTAAATTATTGAATACTAAATATAATATACACTACATAAATTAAAAATATTATATAATATCAAAACGTGTCCTAACGTGTCGAAATTTGACTTTTTAAAAAAAAAATTAATGTGTTGGAGTGTCTTGTCGTATCCCGTGTCCCATGCCGGTGTCAGTGCAACATAGAATGAAACAGATTAAACTGAAGAGTTAAAACAAGAAAAGAGTGGGGGAGGGAGGATCACATATAAAACTAGGGGTATGCAAAAAAATTGATTCACTTGTCCTGCCCTTGATCTGACCTTGACCTGACACATAAATACCTATATTTTTTTAACTGGGTTTAAATACTGACCACCTTTATTTGGGTCAGTTTTAGACCTGACTTGTTTTAATAATTACGCATTGACCCAACACTTGACCCACACCCATTATGTGAAAAAAAAGAAAAAAATCAATTACGTCAAAATTTTTGACGAAAAATATTTCCATAAAAATTTGTCGCACAAATTTTTGACGAAAAATATTTTCATCAAAATTTGTGACTAAAAACATTTTTGTAAGAAAATTTGACGAAAATTTTTTTTATCAACTTTTTCACGGAATCTAAATTTCGTCAAAATATTTCACAAAAAAACATATTTATCAAAAATTTCGACGAGACACATTTACATCAAATTTTTTTGACGGAAACAAATTTCATCAAAATTCTTTACAGAATTCAAATTTTCGGCAAAAGTTTTTGACGGAAACATTTTCGTTAAACTTTTTGACAAAAAAAAATTTCGGCAAAATTTTTAGCGAAACACATTTTCATCGAAATTTTTTGACTAAATATTTTCGTCAAGTCTTTTGATAAAAAAACATTTCCATCAAAATTTTTAACGGAACACATTTCTGTCAAAAATTTTCGTAAACATTTGACAAAAAATATTTCAATAAAAAATTTTGACAGAAAAAATATTCTGTCAAAATTCTTTAAAGAATCTAAATTTCGTCGAAAGTTTTAAATGAAACATTTTCCTCAAAACAATTTCTGTCGAAATTTTCGTCAGAACACATTCCCATCGAAATTTTGAGCGAAAAATATTCCGTCAAAATTTTTGATGGAATTCTTTATCGTTTAAAACATTTGATGGAGGAAATCATTTTCGTCAAAACTTTTGACGGACACTAAATTTCGTCGAAATTTTGGATAGAAAATTTATTTTTGTAAAAATTTTCATTAGAGAAAATTTTTTGTTACTTTTCGAAAAAAAATATTCTGACGAAAAATAATTTTGTGACGAAATTTTAAATTTAATTTAATTTAATTTGTAAAATATAATAATTATATTAATTTAAAAAAAGAAAAACATGGTAAAAATATCTCATTAACTTTCTATTTTTCTCCCTTATCATTTTTTTAACTCCCAAACAAGGGAAGGGAATACCCTTCAATTTCCTTCCCCTCCCTCCCCCTTGGATCCGCTTCCTTCCCTTCCTCTCCAAATTCCCAAACAAAACCTTAAATTTCTATTTTGTTTGTAGTTGATAACTAAAATTATATATGTACAATCATATTAGCCAAGAGTTGCCTTAAACTAATTGATCTTTCCCTAATAATAATTGTATAATTTGGGTTTGAATTTATGAATTTCCTATCAGTAGACATTATGTGATTTTATAATATATCATTGTTAAAATTAGTGATTTGTCATCTTAAGATGGAAAGAACGTTCTCTCATCATTTACTTTTTATTAATTTTCACTAATTTTGCTTCACATGTGCAGGGGCTTAAAATTACATTCCTTTATTTATTCATCAAATATCAAATTTATTATAAAATTTATATATTTTAAAACAAATAAATAATTAAATTACATGAGTTTAAAAAATAAATCAATAACTATAAAAAATCAAATTAAAAACATATTTTGAAACCAAGTCAAAAACGGGTCAGGTCAGATTTGACCAACTTCAGAAACCAAGTCAGACCCACTTCAGAAACTAAGTCAGGTCAGATCTGACCCAGTTCTGAACTAGTTCAAAAAAAATTCAAACCAAGTCAGACCTAACTTGAATCAAATTAAAGCGGGTCGTGTCAAAATACCTGATCTATAAAAATCAAATTGAGTCGAGTCGGCATAAAAACCTGACCTGACGTGAACCATGCACATCCTAATATAAAACTACATAGCTTGCACCTTGTAAACGCGTATGTGTATTTCGGATGCTATTACCAAAAGGATTGTAACATCATGGATGCTATTACCAAAAACCAACGGAAATATGTATTAAAAAAATAAATAATAACTGAAGTCAAACCTTGTAAACGCATATGTGTATTTCGGTAGTTTCCCCTTATAATACTGATTCATTGTTCATAACGAAAATATTAATTAAATCCACAGAAATGGAAACAAAAATAAGGGATTTGTTTTTCTCATGTAATAGAAGAAAATAAAATCTTTTAGCGACACCATAAAAAGTTGTGACGCTTTTTTCTATTTTTTTTTAAAATAGGTGGATCTCACTCTTGTTATATCAATAATATGAGATTAAAAATTTCATGTAATATGAGATTTCTTTTTCCTTAAAAATAATCATAAAAAGCAAGACAATAAAAAACCGAAGGTATAATATATATTATGGGTTCATTTTTTCTAAAGCTACTTTAGATAACTTTGTGTAATGTTCATCGAAACTTCGTCATTCTGTGGCGCAAATCATGATTTATTTGTAATTTTAATTTATTTCAAGATTATAATAGTTATTATCATTCTATTTTTTTAATTTTTCAACCCCAAAACTGTTGGACTTCCTCCTTGATGCTAAGCCCAAAACCCATTGAGGGGTTTGAAAAACCCTAAACTCTAAATCTTCTTCCTTTTTCTTATAAATACATTAGTTGTGGGATAGAGGTAGGTTAGAGAAGAAGAAAAAGAAAAAGGCTGACTTGTGAGATTTGAGAGTTTTGAGTGAAAAGCTCAAAACTTTGATTTTGAGAGCACCTCTAGGGAGAAACTTGAGTGATATACCTCTTTAGGGAAGTTTGAGAGAAAACCACCACTGTAGGTGAGGTTTGAGTGTACAACCATTGTTGGCGATGCTTGATCTTTTGTAACCCAATATTTTCATAGTGAAAGTTTGATTCTGGACTAGTGTCTTGTGAGTTTTACTTCTTCACATTGGAGAAGGTTTTCCTACGATAAAATTTGCTTGTGTTCTCTCTCTTCTCTGTTTTTCATTTTTTCGCTGAGCATAGGCTGACCTGGTAAGTTCAGGCCGACCTCTCTGATTGAAGAGCCGAGCTCCTAGCTCTACGTTTGACTTTCGCAAAGGCTTCTTAGCCGAGTTGAGGGAACCGAGTTCCCAACAGTAGTATCAATATATTTTCTGATCGTGGCTTCTGCCTTCCGACTCAGGATCTCCCACTCCTTATCAGTTTTTCCTTCACGCTTTCTCTTTAATGATGATGAGCTCATATAGATCTTTGCAGTACAGATGGTCTTCCATCATCGGTCTCCAGTAAGTGAATTTGTCTGCGGTGATGTGACCCTGACCATGGATGTCGGGTGCCAACTTTTGTTGAAAGATGTAAGCCATGTTCTTGGCATGTGACTGAACCTAATCTCGTTAGGTAAGCTTGATAATGCCGGATTAGTGAACTGCTTCGGTATGTGATGGAAGGAAAAATCAATGGCAGAGAAGCCAACTTTGTCTGAGATGGACCTAGCCTGGAGCTGTGGCATAAGTACATCAGCCACATGAGCGAGAAAGAGCTCCAAATTCTGAACAAGAAAGGATTACTGATCGGGTTGAAAGGCCTGACATTGGAGAGTTGCACAAACTGCCTAGCTGGAAAGCAGCACCGAGTTTCTTTCGTGAAACTGGATTAACCTAGAAGATGCATGTATATTTTTGACCTCGTTCATACTGATGTATGCTCCATGTCAGAGAGATCCCTTAGAGGAGCTCAGTACTTTGTTTCATTCATTGATGATCATTCTCGTAAAGTGTTGGTATATTTGTTGAAGTCTAAAGACCAGGTACTCCAATCGCTCAAAGAATTCTATGCAATGGTCGAAAGGGAGACTGGCAAGAAATTAAAGGTGGTCTAATCTAACAATGATGGTGAGTATTGTAACGCCTGGCCGCTTCAAGAAACAATGACTATCCCCACATACTAACACGAGACTTTTCAGTGTGCTTTTTCCTCACTCACACACTTCCTAAGAAAACTTTCCAGGAGGTCTCCCATCCCAAAATTACTGCAAGTCAAGCACGCTTA